GGACCAGCCTTGCTTCGAAAGCGGTTTCTAGGGCTCACTCGGCGACTGCCCACCTTATTGTTGCTTAGATGGACCATGTGTCACGAGCACCCAAAATCGTGCTGCTGGAGAAGCATAATGCACAGTAGCAGCAGTGGAGTGCCCTTGAGGAAACGATTTCCATCGGATCTGGGAGCCAAAATTCTGTCAACAACATGAGTGTCCAGGTAATGGACAGTTGCACCAGCCGTATAGGCATCAAAGAGACGTCTCTGCTCCGTAGCTGAGCTCGATGTTACTACACTGCTATGATTATTGATCTCAAAATGTTAGCATCAGTGTCCTGGTACTTGGCGGTTGTGAAATGTTGAGTTGAAGATGGCTTGGATGGACAAGGGCAGTCGATTGGCTGGGCAATCGATAACGGATAGATATCATGCACCATACGCCATTAGGTTAGATCAATCTGAGTTTGTTCTCCAGACACGATGTATCTGTCACTCTTGCGACATGAGTGCACTTGAATGGATGCTTAGAGTACAAATGTGACAAGAAATATCTCTTTTGCCCCAGTTGTCTTTACTAAAGCTGGGATGCCATGAAGTATTAGAGGCTTCTCTGCTAGATACATATATATCAAGAACTTCTTTTGGCCAACTATTATGTTTCTTCTCATCATCACAGACGTTCCTTTCTGATTCTTCCCATCTCTGAGGCTCTGTGCCTTCTGTTTATTCTTTTCGTCTCCATGTCGCATGCCTGATTCTTTCGCACTGCCCTCTTTCTCTTCCCTACGTCTCAAGAATTAGAAGCTGCTCATGAGCGAACAATGCGGAAGGAAGCAGACCTTCGCTCCTATGCTAGCCTTTTCGACTGCAACTTCATAGTTCACCCACTCTGTTTCAGCAATCCGGCTCCTGCAACGTCACATCAGCCAGTGGGAAACAATCATGCCTACTCTGAATGGACGGCTTAGTCGAAGTTGCACTCACGGCATCATTTGATGATCTTTCGAAGATTGTTTCTTCTGTTCGCTTCAGTTTTCGAAGACTTGGTCAGTGATTGCATGGTCATATGAGCTCGTGGGACTGGATCCGGGAGAGTCTGGCAGGAAAGAAGGAATACGCTCCGAGCAGACCCAATACATGCAATGGAAGAAGGCGAGACAGGTGTCACAACGGAAGGTATGAAGTACGGTCAGTCGTCGGCGGAATCGATACCAGGTCCGAGATGATAGCACAACAGGCTTTGCGGGTATATCTCAAAGATCACGACTGTAGGATTGATAGAAGTCTTTGCAAAGCTCTAGACATCCCTCTTGTTGCATCTGTTTTCATCTTCCAACTAGCCTGGGTCTTTACAACGAGGTGGCTATTCCGAAGCTGGCAATATCGATGGCCCGCCCAGGTTATGGGCAAATACCCCACTGAAAACCACCAAGGACACTGAAGGCACCGAGAGCGGGAGAATGCAGAAGGAAATGAAGACCAAGATCAAGGTATCGGGAAAGGCATGATCTCAAGCACAGCTGGAGTAGGACTGTTGACAGAGGGTTAAGACCGTCTCAACGAGTTGCATTATGATCCATTCTACTTCTATCCACTGAGTCCTTCCTGTTGGAAACTCCTTGGCACTCTCAGGGTGCTCCACATCCACTCCGTTACCAATGTGTGTCTCTTCTGGATCCATCTCGTGGCCTCGTTGTGATACAGATCAAGTACCACCCCATATCGAAGCGGAAGCAGAGATCTCGCCATGTTACCACCAGTCCAAGGATGCAAAGAATCTGGAGGAAGGAGATAATTAATGTAGTAGTATGGGCATGGGCTCCATCGCTTGGCGGAGAATTTCAATGAGCACGCCTGTGTCAGTCAGCTATATACATAAAGGAACGGAAGGCTGCGAAAGGATCCCGGAAAACCAAGGACAAGGATGGGCTTTTACCTAGAAAGACGAGCCACTTGAAAATAGCTAGCCATGACATTGGCCTTGCCCAATGATCGATTTATGGTGAAAGATGCTCGGCGGCTCCTGATGGCGGCTGGAAAGGGTCGGAGGTGCTATCTTCTATCAGCATGAGCGCATCGTGACTGCGGATATAGACCACACGTACCTGGAAGGTTATCGAATATGGATACCTAATACGAATCCGAACAAAGTTGTCGATTACCTTGCACGCTGGTGAATATGGGATCTTTGCTGTAGAGGTCTTGGCAAACCAGCGTTTTAGGTGTTTATCCGTCACCACATTACGCCCTACTGCAGCTACCTAGGACTCCTAAATCGCCGCCATCACCCTCTTTTGCTGTCAAAGCAAAGCTTGAACTTGCTACGATTTCTCCCCGGCCGCAGTTTTCGAAATCTTGCGTAATCTCTGTATGAGATGGCAGGAACGGCACTATTTGAAGATGGGGTGTCGAAACCGTTTCTACGCCGGATCACAACCTCATCTGCACGCAGAAAAATCAACAAGAAGACTCGCCTCCACATAAGTGAGACCTCTTCATTCTGTAAGAGTGCTCATGTTGACGTCTACCAGTCTTTTCTTAACAACCTGGAACCTCTTCCCTCCTGAGATAAAGCAGATGGCCTCCCCTCGGAAGATCTATATCTTGCATCATGGTGCTAAAGACTTCGATTCGCCTCCTTCTTAAATCTCATTCTCATTAGTCATCGCTTCTCCAAAGGTACAGCTCTCGCCTACCAAAAGGCATTTTCGCCACCTGCATGTGACAGAAAGACTCTTACAAAGGGGACGGGAAGGCATCGCATGATGGGCACGGGTCGAAGCACTGAATGAAAACAACCTCCGAAATTCCTCTTCAGACTATATTGGTTGTCTCTGCAAATAAACGATCAAATCATGCCCCTTTCTACGTCTACCTCAAAGAGCGTTGGAGTATTTCAGACCTCTTCGAATCACTCCTTGATGATTGCAACAATCATGGTCAGGCAGCGGAGACTACGACCACAATAAAAGCTACATTTCTTTGAAAGAACGGAGCGCAGCTCTTGAGGAAAGACAACCCGGAGGATTGGACTATCTTCTGGGAGGCTTTACGAAAGGCTTGGAAACGAGAGAGGAATTAATTCATGGAGGATAACTGCGAAATTGAGATGGTACTTCCTGTGGAAATGGAATAGCACGGCACGGACTTCTCGCGCCAGCGATCGTGACATCCTCAGCAACAGCTCTAGGTCTCCAGCCCTTAACCTCCTCTACGCTACATACCTCTGGCTCATCGATGTCCTCAGTTCCAACTTTCCAATCCCCCCAGCTCTCCGGCTTCATCGCCACATACCACGACATCTTTCTCTTCGGCGTCCTCGAAACAGCCCTTCACGCCATCGAGTGTCAGAAGGCTGACTTCCAAGCTCGACCCAATTCGTCGCCTCTCGCCTCTGCAAGGCCATCGGTGGTACCATACCGGCACGATTCGGTGGCTGTTCACGTGCCTGCTTCGGAGCATGTACCTACACTTGAGGCGTCTACGGCGGGGAAGATGAAGAGGACCGCGAGTTCCCTTGCGTTGCCAACGTGGCGTATCTCGGTCTTCCGGTTACAAGGGCTTTTTGGCGCAACGAGGGGATCTAGCGTGAGATGAGGAGGTTCACGAGGGCAGGTGCGTGGGCGGAGTTGGGATTTGGTGGTTTGAAGGGGGAAAGGGGAGATGTGGTGGGCTAGCAGGAGGCAGGAGGTTTCATGTTCTTGAGGACCGGGGTAGATAGAGGAAACTTTGCATGATTAAAAAGTGTCTTCGTTCAACAACTATCTCCTTCCTTATATCTCCATCAATGCTATCTCTGAAGAAACCCAGAATACTAACGTACGTCCTCAATACCGCAGCGCTTCTAGAACAGTTGATACTGTACTTCACCCAAAAACCTCTCCTCCGACTGCACCTCAATGAGTGCCCTCCAATGCTAACCAAGTCCATATCCCATCCATATCCCGCCTCTAATCCCCATGAGCACCATCCCACTTGGCACACATCCGCAGTGGCCACCACTGACCATTGACCAAACCCCCTTCGCCCAATCGAGCATAGATGCTAGGAGCTAATATTTAGCAAACCAGATGAGGCCAGGACCTTGCTGACACGCCAAAGTGGCACAGAACTCCTCCATGAAAACCGGTGTCTATCAACTTCCTGACTGTGCTTCGGTTTTCGTTTGCGCCAGTAGATGCAAGCTCCCAGGTACTGGCTTCCGAACGTATTGGGTCGGTCTCCGATGAATATTCTTGGAATGTATTCTCCCAGGCAGTAGAGGGAGTGTCAATCATACGTATGACATGGAACTCCTTGAGCTTTGTGAACGAACACGGGTCAAAATGACTGCAGGATCGCTCACGGCTCAGGCAGGACACGAGCATCGTATTTCTGCGAAACGAATTATAGATCGTGAGGGGGGTAGCTCTTCATAAGGCTTTTGATTTATGAAAGGCTCCATTCTGGCAAGAATATAGCCCGCTCAACAAGCACCAAGCTCCTGCACGTGGTGTCAGATGGGGAGTTGAGTCGATGACGGAAAGTCGGCCGGTGCGTAAAAGGGCTCCTCTGAAGGGCGGTCCCGTTGTAGTAGGTACATCGTTGACGATCGAACCATGGTTCGATACTTGAGCGGCGCAACAGGCTCGGATACACACTCATACTTCGTCCGCCTGCAAAATTTTGTCGGAGAATCTCTCACATTTTTCTTCCCTAGACCTGATCAAGAGAAGTTGTCCGCTTGGCGATGAAGTCAAGAGTGTAGAGAATCTCAGAAGGTTCAAGTCTCATTGATTGGTTGCGATAGGCTTTCGGGCAGACGAGGAGGCCGGAAATGTATCGGTCGAAGCGGTATCAACCCGTAGAACATTGACAAGTCTACACTGACAAGGCTGTTGAAGGCTCGAATGTCGCATCGCCATTCGCAGACAATGTGGGTTTTCGGAGTGAAGCCCATAATGAGCGTAGGAAGTCCGAGATCCAACGCCTATTTGCCGGCCGATTGCACTGTGCGACTCGGAGTTCTAGGAATCATGCCTCCCATGGAATCCTCCTTTTCGTGATTCTTGGCCCGTTCTCGTACTGATCAGAGCTGGTGAGACTTGCCCAGCTGTCTTCGGCAATAGCGGTCAGGATATCGTCAAGCTTTGGGTCCTTTGCCTTTTGTCCGGCAGTCCGGCGTGGGGTTTTGTTGCTGCTGAGAGACCTATGATTGGAAACACCTCTGTTCGTGACATTTTAACCATTCTCTTACTGATTGCAGCCAGTCGGACCTGCCCAGTGGTCTTCGGCAATAGCGGTCAGGATGTCGTCGGTAGCTGTGAGCTTCGAGCACTTCACCAGTCCGGCGTGAAATTTTGTTGCTGCTGAGGTATCCATTGACCACTGCTCTGGTAGCTCTCAATGTGTTTGAGCTTGAGGTTCGCAGTGTACTCTGCCCTTTTTCGAATAGTCGAGATTTTTTTGCTGTTGAAGGATCTACTACTACTCTGGTAGCCTCGGCGTGTGATCAAGGTTGAGCTTCATCAGGGTAATTTGCCTTTCATCAAGTAGTCCACCATGGCGGTTTTGTTGCTGAGTGATCTATTATTGCTCTGGTCGCTTTCAAGGTGCTTGAGATTCGTCAGGGTACTTTGTTCTTTGTCGAACATTTCGGCGTGGCGGTTCTTTTGCTGAGTGATCTACCATTGCTCTGGTAATTTTAGTGTGTTTGAGCTTGAGCTTCACCAGTACCCTTTATCAAGCCGTCCGACGTGAAGATTTTGTTGTCCTTGAGGTTTCCACCACTATTTCGATAACCTCTGTGTGTCTGAGCCTAAGCTTCTTGAGAGTACTTTGCCCTTTCTCGGGCAGTCTGACGCGGAGGTTTTGTTGCTGTTGAGGGACTGATCTACCACTGCTCTGGTAACCTCGGTGTGTTTAAGCTTCATTAGGGTACTTTGCCCTTTGTCGAACAGTCCGGCGTGGAGGTTTTGTTGCCGAGTGATCTACCGCTGCCCTGGTAGCCCTCGATGTGTTCAAGCCTAAGTTTCGTAAGGGTACTTTGCCCTTTGTCGAACAGTCCGGCATGGAGGTTTTGTTGCCGAGTGATCTACCGCTGCCCTGGTAGCCCTCGATGTGTTCAAGCCTAAGTTTCGTCAGGGTACTTTGCCCTTTGTCGGGCAGTCTGGCGTGAAAAGTTGTTGCCGTTGAGATATCTAGCACTGCTCTGGTAGACTTCGTGTATTCAAGCTTGAGGTTAGTAAAGGTAATTTGCCCTCTCTCGGGCAGTCCGGCGTAGAGTTTTGTTATCGCTGCGGTGTTTATCACTGCTTTGATAGCCTCGGTTTGTAATCAACCTTGAGCTTTGCCAGGTTACTTTGCCCTTTGTCGGGCACTCCGGCGTGGAAAGTTGTTGGTGCTGAGATATCGACACTGCTCTGGTAGCCTCGGTATGTTCAAGCTTGAGCTTCGCTAGGGCGCACTTTTTGGCCGTCTCTTTGCATGAACGAGCTATGTCCAAATCAAAGCGTGATGTGAGGGGCCGCTCATCCATTTCCAGAAGAGAATGTCGGCATCTGCGAGAGTGTCTGGAGTTGTTAGGCGTAGTGACATACCTAGTCAGTAGTATGATCTACTGGATGTTCTTGTCCAGTCCTGGGCCGACCTCGTTGCAGGAGACTTTTCCCACGAAGCTTCGATCAAATACCGTGAGGTTTGGATGTCCTTGTCTTCCTCCTTGTCCTGATTTTCTTGGTGACGATGCGTCAAATAGATGATGGGCTTCCTTTTGTTCGCAAATCCGTTGGCGAAAGAGAATGTCGGGGTCTGCGCGAATACCTCAAGCCACAGCTCATGCTGAAATACTCAGAACATCCTTTCCTTAGCTTCCAAGAAAGATACCTCCTGCTCCATCGATCGATCCCGTGGACCCACAGCTCGACTTCCTTAGGCGTATGATCGATGAGACCTATGCAGACGTACTTTTGGGCTCTTGGGTATGATGTGGTCCTCATGCAAACTAGTTCTGATGGGATTTGTGAGTAAGCAACCGTAGATTTTGGTTTTCGACTCGAGAGGAATGGTAAGAAGACAACTAGGGCGATATTTTTTGGTGGGTTGATGAGGCCCAGTTCGATGTCGATGGTGTTCTGCTGAGGAATTCTGCCACCGTGGGGCAGCAGGTAGGTGGGCAAAGGCCCACTGATTGGGCTCATCTCTGCGGTGACGGACCCTTGGTTTGAGATTTACCGGACTGAGTGAAGCCGAGATGTGCTTGTTTGGTGGGTTCATTGGCTTCAGTGTGAAGACCAAGAGGTCGAAGGTGTCCTTCTAAGCAATGAGATGATGGCTCTGGGCCGACTGCTGATGGCGTATGGAGGGGTTCAGATACAGTAGGGTATGTATATATTGAGGGTGAGAGTCTGATGAAAAGACCATGAACCAAATTAACTCCTGGTGTTAACCGATGATATTTGCCTGACGAGTTGTAACGGAGGGTTGGCTGCTTGATTTGGTGGTGGTGAAGGGGTATATACTTGAGAGGTGGTGTCGGTGGTGTCGGTGGTGGAGGTTTGGTTGTCTAACTTTGCGTTAGCGATGGGTGTTTCTTAATGTTGTGAAGGTATGTGGAGGCTGGATTACCCGAAATAATGGCAGTTGAGGGGACTTCTAGATGAGAGGCGCGCTTGCCAGTGGAGGCGGTGGTCACTGAGCTCATGTTAGTTGGAGAAGTAATCTCTTGACGCTGTATAAAGCCGGTGGTATCTTACCCGAACTCATGTTGCACGATGATAGCGTTCCTTCTATCATCTCCTGGATCCTTAATAGTGCGAATGTCCCAAGCCAACACTGCTCATAGCAGAAATCCGAGCACATGCTTCTTTTTCATGGCTTCCAACAGTAGAACTGAGTCACACCTTCGACTTCAGGCTGTGTAAACTCTCCCACGCGTATCAGTAGCCGGACGCTCCATGTAGTTTGTGACGCGTCGTATCCTCTGTCTAGGCTTGATCGTTCAGTGAGCCGCCGGCGTATGACCTCTGTGTTGACAGATCCGTGACAGGATACGTTTGCTAATTTGCTAATCGATGGAAAATTGATCTGGGTATTGTGGTCGAGGTGATGGAGCACGAAGCTTCCAGCAACCTCAGCTGCAGATCTGCATCAACCAAACTTGAAGTTATCTGATGATAGAATTGGTAGAAACCCTTAGGTATTGCGGTCGTGGCCATGGAGCATCAAGCTTCACGAAATCAGATTGTAGAGCTGCCTCGATAGAATTTGTAGACGTTGAGGTGAGCATACCAAGAATTGTTGACGTCCTTCCGAATTGTGTATGGGCTAGGAGCGTTGCCGTATGCTGTCTAAGTTGGGGTCAGGGTAGACTGAGAGTTCACTGTCTCTTGGAACTCTGTTTCGCTGCTAAGCTCTGGTTCAGTGAGATGCGAAGGACCCATGAGCTCTGGCAGCGATGTTTCACGACTGTGCCAGACTTGGATTGCGTCTTGCTCTTCATACGTGTTGTGGGCAGTCTTGTCTGAAGGAGGATGACCTTGGTTACGCTGCTAGCGGAAACCGTGAACAAGGTAGACAGGCATACTGGATGATCAAATTGTTGGCTTGTGCAGTTGTAGTGGTGATTGGGAAGGCACAGCAAGGAGGCTGTGTGTTTGATCGTCAAATGAACTCCTGAGCTCTAGTTTTGGGTAACCAAAATACTGACATGAAACTGTGGATGCCAAGCTGGTGTGGAGCAGATGCAGGGAAGAGTTGCATGGAAGAAAGGCTGTTCTTGAAGCTGTTGAAATTTTCATTTCCGGGTATTGTAAATTGCATCGCGGGCTTGCTGCCAGAAGTTTCCGCCATTGAAATCACCCCTCCTGCGAGTAGGTTTCAGAACGCTTTGCCTTTAAAGATAGTTAAGATTTCGGGGACTAAACCCAAGTGGAGACCAGAATACAGGATTCTCACAGCATTTTCACCTCAAAGTAATTGAACGATGTGGCATACGTAGTTTAGCTTAGCTATTCCAAGTCGAGTGGTCTGGCAGGTAACACCCGCATGATACGCCACAAATGCAAGTTTGTAGAGTCAGAGGAAGTAGCATCACCGGGCATAAACCTCAAAATGTTTGCCAATCCTCAACATGAATTAGGCCCTTTAACATGACTGTGCATACCAGGCAGCGATAGAGTCCAACCTTGGTGATAAAGCAGAGGAGTAGAGGCCAAGCTTGTGTATACCATAAAGGAGTAGAAGCCACGCTTGTGTATACCACAAAGCGGTAGACGCCACACTTGTATATACCACAAAAGGATAGAAGCCAAGCAAAAATGTAGTATGTATGTATAGGCAAAGGAAGTTTCTGCATGAGAGATGAAAAAGTAGGGAGAAGGTGGGAGATAGAGAGGGTTTAAATACCCGTGGATGCTGCCGATCCTGCCGATCCTCTGCCTTCACCGTCGTCGTGGGAGTCACTTTCTCCATTCATTCCCAGACTTCATCGTCGGACGAAGTGTGATGTTCTCCATTCATCCGGCAGACATCATAATGAATCGAATTCGACTTCTTACGCAGTTCATTCATCGACACACTTATTCATTGGCTAAGCGTTCACGGTACCTATTCATTCACAGACTCTACCGTCAGTCAGACTGGCTCTCCATTCATTCCCCAACTTCATCAGTCAAGCTACTTAGGCCTTGGTGCATTTACAGACTGCCACTAGAGACTGCATTCACATCCGGATCTGAACTTGGTGCATTGCATTCGTCTCCTAAGAGGTTGCTTATATACCTGGGATGCTTTGTTTGGTGGAGGCGCAAACAGGATTGGGGCTTTGGCTTGCATTTCTAGGAGATCGCGTTTAAATTTACAAAGTCACGTGGTGATACTACGTACCTTATGTAGTGAGATATCTACAAAGTTGAAGCGGCGGAGGCCTAACCCAGAATCGTTAGACTAGCCGAGGTCTCTTCGCGGTCGCGTCTTGACTTTCACAAACCTCAGCAGTCTATCCAGTATCAATATGTGAACGTAAAGACTTGAAATGGTTGGTGCAATGGATTCTCCTCATCTGATTCACTGCAGAGGATATGTCATCTCAGTAGAGCTTCGAGTGGGCTGCGACTGGCCTCAGATATCTCTGACCATTTGAGTGAGTGCCGGAGGTTCTCATGGAGTATCTTGTGTTTCAAAAAGAATGTCATGGAATAAAGAAGAATTTTCTCGAGCTTGATTGCATTCTTGTATTATCGTCTATTCTATAAAAGTACCAGAATTTTCTTTGGCCTTGAACTCAATGGCGTGCTGCTCCTGATAACAACCCCCACCCCCCCAGTGGACAGCTGAAGTCTTGACCCCTCTTTATCTGCTGATGATCATAAGTTGAATAGTATTGTGGCCAAAAAGATCAGATCACGTACCGACAGATCCACCTGCAGATGTAAGACCAGCTGCGATGCCCAAGTGACTGGTGAAGTAGGACTGCAGGACCAGGATCCCACTCCCAAAGGCCATGCCCATGCCGATGCCCGTCAAGATCACTTGAACAAACAACAGTTCCCAGAACTTATGGCACCAGCTAGTGCTCAAAATCGATACCAACATCAGAAAACAGCCTCCGTTGAAGCCGAGACGGAAGTAGCCTTTGTCAATAAGTGGGCTAACCATGATACTCATAGAAAATAGAAAGAAGAGCTGAAAGCTCCCGATCCAGGCAATTGTAGCTGGTGATTCTGCAGGGAGGAGAACGGCCTCATAGTAGGCCTGGAAGGCGCCGTATGCTGGATTTATGTTAACCTTTCCCAGATAGCTCGCCGAACTCTCTACTGCATTCAGTCAGTCCCCGGAATCGGCTTAGACGTATACACAGCCATCATAAGCAGGAGCCTAACACCAGCTAGTGGCCAAGATCGAGAAACATCTCAAGAAGCAGCCTCCGTTGAAGTACAGGTGGTGGGGCCTCTTACATCAAAGTAGCCTCCTCTGCCTTCGGTACCGATTGGCTCTTCGAAAGATATCTGAACGTTGTCATTGTGATTGCGATTCAAGGCAGCATCAAAGGACTCATTCCCGAATGGGAGAATCATGATGTTCTTCACCATCTCTTTTCCCAAGTAATGATCGATACGGAAGATCTCCTCCTCTTTCTAATCTGGCTCAAGGCCTTCTGAAGCTCTCGCGAGCTATCCAATCCCTTGCCGAAAGGCTTCTCCACGACGATTCATGGTATTCATGTTCTGGGATAGCAATTCCGCTTGAGCTGTTGTGAGGTTGTCAACTACCATGGCTAAAAATATTTGACTACAAGGTCTGCTTACCCATACACGAAAGACGTGACATCGGCGGCAGAAACACCTGGACGAAGAGAAGCTTGATAATCGTCATCAACTCGGTCTGCTTAATAACTTCCTCGAGCCTTACTGTATGTAGTAACTGTTCTTGCTGGATCAGCACGCTGGGTCACAGCGAGATAGTCAGGCCGCTGGTTCCAGGGGACACCAGGATACTGTCGAAAGAAGATCGAAAGAAGGTCCAGAGACGGGCAATCCATGCGATGGTAGCCGGGGGTTGGTCAGAGATTAGCTTGGGTTGGTAACACCCTTGAGGGGCACCGTACGAAGGTTCATTAATACCATAAGGCCTGCGGCCGGCAATCTTCTTCAGCAGCTGAGGCACCTTCACCAGACGCACGTTCAATCCATGCCCCTCCTGAAGACCCTGAACCAGGCTAAATGTCTGACTATTCTTGAGGAGCAAAAAGAATGATTGTGTCGTGGATGTGCTAGATGCTGCACTATCCGACAGGCTTCAACGCCAACGCCACAACGCCACACGAAAATGTTGAGAGCTTTCAGGTCTCTGCGCATGACCTCGGCATGTTGGATCTGATGATGATCTGAGGGCGGATGTAGTGAAGCGCGCATCCAAAGGCGTGGCACTTGTCTCCGCATAGCCCGGGAGCCCGTCGTCTCGTGGGTTGAATACCTGCTTTGCGGGCGATGAATGAAGAGAACCATGCTTCAGAACCCCAGTCCAAAAGCTCAACGCTTAATGCTATGTCTTGAGGTCAAAGCAGAGATTGCCAAAGATGAAGGTGTTCTGCTTGCGGAGCTGATAGTGCGCTTGGCGGTGTTTGCGGTGACTGGAAAGTGCTTGTCAGCGGGATCTCAGACATTCCAACAGTGTTGTGACTTACTACGCAGTGGTCAACGAAGACGTTGTTGGTAACGATGCATCCTGCGACCAGGTGCATTGACCCGTTCTTTGTGATTGTCATCCTTGAAGTGGGAGGCTTCAGCTGCTGTGACCTGCCGTTGGATTTCGGCATCCTGTTTGACGAGAGCGGCAATCTTATCTCGTAGAGCCTCTTTCGGCTCTACATTGCTACGTCTTACGCTCGACAAGCAATAGACCGACAGCGGTATTGGGTACCCATCTCTTCGATCAGTGTGTGACTCCAGCGATTGAGTGTATCGATGGTAGGGTCAATATCGTCAGCACGAGCGTTGCATGCTTGGATCGCATCAAAAACGGTCTGAATGCGATCTGATACGGTAGCTAAAAGTTGTTGGACTTGACGAAGCTCATGAACACCATGGTGGAGGTGAGCTTTGATCTCGTCGGATGTTCGCATGATGGTGGTAATAGCAAGCCTTTCGGCTAGGCAACGGTGTCGTCGACGACTAAGCAAGGGCGAGGTTCCGCTGTTGGTACAACAACTGTGACATTTTTACCGTCAGACTTGGGCTTGAAGGAGAACATTGCCTGTTCACGATGGGCCTGGGGCATATCGCCGTGAGTATTTCCGCAGGAGGAGAACGGCTTCGTCATAGGCTTGAAAGACGTCGTATGACTTGACGCAAGATTAACAGACACACCTTTTATTTTCGGTTGGAGTCTTGCCCGAACAAATCCTCTGCAGTGAAGTCAGTAATATTTCGCCACAGTGAACCTGCAAACATCACTCACTGAGCGTTGAAGATCACCAAAACCCCGCCAATGACCTGGAGCCAGGCCATAGCTGCTTGGGTAAGCTGTATAGGCATGACTTTCGGATTTGAGAAACGCTGGGTTTCTTGCCGGCTGTGGCCGCGTTTGTAGGGGTGTAAAGAAGCTGATTCTAAAGACGGTTTGCGCAGGAAACTCAATCTAGTCTCAAAGGCAAAGACAGCTAGGACACCGAAGCCGAAGAGGACGATAGCGATTGCTAGAAGGTAGATAGGGTCGCGGAGTCTTGGCAGCTTTGTGGCCACGAGTTGGTGCGCTCGCTCAACCAGGAAGAGGTACAGGAAGACCTTGCCACCGACGTAGCCGACGAGGCAGACGTCGATGGCAGTGCGACACCCCTTTCACAGGAGCTGGTCCTGGTTCTTTGGTAGGTTCAGCAATGGTCGCTCCCTTTGCATCCATCTCTTCTTTCTTCTTGCAGGATGGGCACCCTCGGCGGTCTTCGGTAGTAAAGTCCCAGGCGTTGATGAGAAGACCGGCAGTGAAGATGAAGGCAAGTGTGCAGGAGTAGGTCGCTAGTACTAGGACCCGGATGGAATTCAGCTGCTTGAAATTACCCATCTCAAGTGTTTTGAGACGCGCAGCTAGGGACAGATTAGTTCTTCCTGCTGTATGCAGACACGGTTGACGGCTGTTGAAGAGGGGGTTATGAACATACAGAGCGTTCCAGACACCATGCAAAGGCCGATTAGTGTGCGGCCAACACAGCTGACTGCTGGTTTGAAACGTTGTGTCTGCTCTCGATGATCAAAAGACCAGCGGCCACAGTTTCAAACTGTCTTTGACAGCTTCCAAGAGCTGACCTTGACGTTGCATCAGGATTTTTGCGCTCACTGATAGCGTGTTTTCCGAAAACAGGTGTTGATCGTGGACGCTGTGTCCCAGAAGATGGAAGACCATGATTCCCTCAGCGCGCTTTGCGCGAGGTTGAATACAAACGAGATCAGGTCTGCAGCCATAACCGGCTCATTTGATACGCAAGTCTTTGACCTAGAAGAGCGTGTGGTAGTGAGTCTTGGGGCTTTGAGACAAAGGCCGAAGAAGAGGATGTCTTCCTCACGAGTGATCTTAGCGCGCGATTCACTTTGTGGGAATGAATATCACCTCAGGTATGTGATCTTTCACTAGTTTCCGGTGGCTCACTGTTACAAGCACAGAGGCACATTGATGGGGCGATGGGGGACTCGATCTATAGCATAGATTAGTGCTCGCAAACAGTGAGGCCATACAGAAATGACGTATGCACAAGCGGATATGTATATAGATGATTGGGCATATCCAACACTGGGGCAGCTAAGACCTTTCTGGACATGCAAATAGCCCAGAAAGACCCCCCAGCGCTAGAAAAACTCCCATGTCTAAGCGACATGCCCTGGAGTGAAAAATGAAGCTATATATAGGTGTGGGTGGGAGGGAGAAGAATCCAAAGAACAATTATAAGGTGTGCCTAACGAGATAGCAAGAAAACAAACACGAAAGCAGCTTGACGCGTCTCTGGGGTATAAGGGGGTAACTTCAGCATTGTTGACGCCAGCTCCGGGGGTATTCTTTCCGCTCGTCTAGGGAGGTAGACGCCTTACGTTTGTAAGAGGAGGGGGAGGTAGAGGGCTTCGAGGGGGGCGACGGTGACCTGGACGCGTCAGAATAGGTGGGCCTGCTCCATTCGCCATCGCTGGGGCTACTATCTTCTTCCTTGAGTAGTAAAAATTCGTTCGCGAGCTCCTCCTAGATATCCTCAAAGCCCCCATACTGTGGGGGCTGGCGTACGAGGCGGGGGTACGACATTAAGGCTATTGGGAATGATATACGCGAAGATTTGACGATAGCGAGGTGTGGGAGGGGTGGAGGGTAGAGGGTGGCGACAGCGAGGTATGGGGAAGACGGTAAGATCAGCCAGGACGTGTCCCCTATTTACTACTGCAATCTCTTACTAATCAGGGGAATGTGGCTGGGTCGGCCTAATGGCTCTCCGGTACTGTACACTAGCGTTGGCTGAGGTTTAGAAGCACCCTACAAAGAGTACTCGCCATGGCCACCTGTCTCCCTACTATCGCATATCGGATATTGATGGAACGGTTGATCAAACAACCACCAACGCTATGGCCTCATAATGGACCCACTAACCCACAGTCCCACTGTGGCGAATTGTGCAGTTATCTAAGTGCGAATGGCTATGATTATTCTGTATAGCAGTTGACTAGATACTAATCCAAATTCTTGGCCAACACTACAGGGATCCCAGACCTGCGCCCCTTATTCACAATATCACCGTGGAGAGCGAGCAAAGCCATGGCTTGGTGCAGACATTTTGCCTCGATCACGTCCTTCATGAGTTCAGCCTCTGCCACAGTGAGAATGGTAACCTGGCGGACAGTGACAGTTATACCGTTAAGAGCCTAAGGGCTAAAGAATCCTACGTCAAGTTCCCATCGTGGTTGCACATGTTGCTTGGGCTGAGGCAGGACCGCGGGCCCATGGGCAGCAAGTTCGGAATTTAGATGCATGGCTTCGACAGCATTAGAATCCCAGGTTTGCTGAAGCTCGATTTTTGAAAGATATCCCAACAGATTTTTGACCATGAGATGGATGTGCAGTTAAAGCATCACACTCCTGTCGATTTGAACGGGGGGTTCTTCAGTGATCCGTTAGTTTCCAATGGCCGTAAAGCCTAGCGATGTCTGTCAGGATGGAATAGAGACCTTGGAGATGCCGTGCTCGAGAGACGGTTCGATGATGTTGAGGGTTTTTTGTGGTTCATGATCTCTGCAATGCTTGCACCACGTGAAGGCCGAGACGGCATTACGAGCCTCGTCGGACCGGCAAATGGCGAGGAACCGCTGCGGAGGAAACTTCGCACGACTCCTGGAGGTCCACTCGGCGGCCTCCATCTACCCAGCGAAAGGTATTGTGGTCTCCGCACATCCCAGTTGCGCTGCTTTTCAGAGACGAGAATCGGCAGGAACAATGGCACCGCATACATCATATATCTCGTATCTTTCATGACGGAAATAACGTCTTCCAGTGCTCTCCTCGTTCCATGTATGTCAATCTAGTGACGTTCAGGTCCTCACAAGCTGCCGAAGACCTCTTCAGCGGCAGATCCTGCGGACTCTCGTTAACACTCCGATCCTAGGGATTGACGCTATGTTTGACTTACCATTGACTCCACGCCCGGTGAGCTTGCCGCTTAGCAAGGCACTCGATCGTCCGTCCCCCATTCCCGTCAACTGAACGCCCGTCCTAGACGGTTTGAGGAGATCGTAGGACCGTCTGACTTAGTTTGAGATGTGCGGACGAACGGTGTGGGCAAATCGTCCGACGCTTAAGTAGATTTGTAGCGAATATATATTTAGCTTTGTAGTAAATGTTTGGCGGAGATATTTAGTTCGTATTAGAGCCGATTCCTAATGGCGCTGGTACAATGGTGTTGCGGTGCTTCTTGAGTACTTGTATGAAGGACGTATTTTGAATCGTGATAGGGCAGATTTTGGGCGCAGCACGTCGGCTAATCAATCTGGATTGATATACTAGCCGTTTCGGTACTAGCTTCTTGATCCTGTTGGACTAAGGTAAGGTTTAGAACAGATGGTCCAAATTGAATTGGGATGGTCTAAGCTACTAACTACACGTACGATTCAATCATAAATTAAACAGCTTCAATTTGGACTAATCTAGGCTTATCGACGGACGGTTTGGACTATCTGATTCCTTGCCGCTTGATGGACGCGACGACCATTGAGACTCTGCATGGCGCGTTCTGCTGAAGCTGGATCGTCGTATTCGATGAAACTGTAACTGCATCCCTTGCTCTAGATGTGTTTAGCAAGTGGGCTAATGGAAATGCTAGAGGATGCCTTTCGTTGAGACCTTGACCGCTGTGTGACCAAGGCCACCGCCCGCGCAGATGCCCAGTACACGGTTCTTGGCTTTGGGCGCCATCATTGAACCAGATGGGGAGTTCCAAGAGAACCCGTCTCTGGCGATCTTGTCAAAATTCAGAGGGTAGAGCGCTGGTGCCTGGGAGCCTCTTCCGGGAGAACCAAAATCTCTTCAAAAGCAAACTCCGCATCGAAGAAACGTTGTTTGATATGGTCGGGAATTCAATCAGGAAGTGGAGCTTCATTGCACGTGAAGCTTGCAGGCAAACCTGGTTGCTCCATTGGCTTTTCAGCGTCGCTGATGGTGTTCTTAAGGTTCTGGATCTCTTCGAGTGCTAGCTTGCAGTTACGTCAGAGCTCGTCTCTTCTTCCCTTTTCCGCGCGGGTTAGTCGCGGATTTCGTGAGCTCGAACGGATTTCCCCATTTCTGACGGAAAGAGAAGTGGCAATTTCCCACGAACGCTCCTGATCTCAGTGTGAAGGAAGGTCTGAAGTAAACGAGAACTACCGAGCAAAACTTCAGAAGTCGCCAACAAATTTCCCACGCAGGTTGTGCCCCGAGCTTTCCAAAACCAGCAAACAACAAAGCAAGGTACCGCGGCCAGCGCGGAAAATTAGAAGAAGTGGTCGAAGATGGGTCGGACGCGACATCCACGACTGTGGGCGAGGGAGCCTGAAAGCGATTTGAAAATTCTCAATCGCCTGCTCCACTGGCCTATCGCCTTCTTCAGGTTCAATGGTGGAGCTGGTATTGAAACATCGTATCCCAGACGTTTCACGAACAGGGTCTTTACGGCATTTGGATTGAAGCGAAAGTTGCTCCACAGAGGTAGTCCCACGTGTGTTCGGGAAGTATTTTTGGGAAGGTATTGGTGAGCATGCAGAGGCTGGCTTTCTGCGCAAAAGAGTTGAACCGGCTTGAAGGGATCTTCGCCGTCACGGGGATAGGATGATGTTCCTCGATTGGATGTCCAGGGACACTTGCAAGGTCGCTGACATGACTTCTACGCAGGTTCCAGTTCAAAGCTTGCAACTTCGACGTCCATGACTGTGGGCATGGGGCTTTTGGGGTTCCACGATACAGGGAATGCATCCATGGCTTGAAAGCTTATTCGACTTACACTGCAGAACACGGTTGATCCGAGGGACATGGCTTGGGACAAAGTACACCATGTCTCTGAAAGTGATCAGGCTATTGCGCGCAAAGCGTCATCCCAGTATCAAGAGACCTTCTTAGCCACGGTTCAGGAACCCCACTTGAATCGTATTATCTCCACTTAGGATTCGCTTGTATCCATCTCACGCCATCGAAGGTACGTGTAATGTCAACGCGGCTTCGAACGTCGTCGGCTATAGGTAGGGGATCATAGAACAGGTACTCGGTATTGAGCTCACGGCCATCGAAGGTGCGTGTGATATCGACACGGCCTTGAACATTGTCGGCCAGCAAAGAGGAGTTGATAGACTTTGCCTGTGGAAGATGTCAGTACTGGGGGATCTGAGGTGTGATCTGAGATCCGGAGTGGAAAACCTTACCTGAATGGTGTTGTTGGGTGCGATGAAGTTGTCTAAGAACTTCTTCTGCAGAGTGAAGAGCTCGTTGTGGGTGAAGTTCTTCTCCTGATCGTCGTTGCGGGCGATCAGAGTCTTGGTACGTGTCTGCTGGTCTGCGAGATGAGGTGCGAGGTGAGGGAGTTGACGTGACGCGTGAGGATACTGAACGCTGGAGACGGCGCTCACGGAGGAGCCAAGGCACCAACGACGATGGCGATGATCGTCATGTTTGCTGTAGCCAACGCGCTCAACGAGAGAGCCAGAGCACCAGTGGCTTCGCCTCCTGTACAACTCTCCCAGTCAGCCAACCTTGCCTAGGGCGTTCATCAGAGCGGGTATACACACTCAATCTTCCCACGTCAACTCGCAATCAGCCAAATACACCCACTCATCCTCAAATCCCCTCGCCGCATCCATCCCACCGGAGCGTCTCCAGTAGCGCTGAATATCTCCCGAATATTTCTCAAGGACCCTCTTCCCCGGCAAATCCCGGAGCCTTTCCAGCAGGAAGCCGCCGGCACCGGCTTCTTATCCTTGCCACGGTAGCACCAGATCCAGTACTCAGTCTGCTTGAAGAAGATGGCTTTAGCCATGCCAACATCCTCGCGCCTGTCGTTTGGGGAACTCGGAAGGTAAACCATGTTGGTGGTACTGCGTCATTGACCGTCAGCATCCTGAGAACATGATCCAACTGGCTGTATCGGAGGAAGATGAGGAGAGAGACGCGGGAAGCACAAATGCTTTTCGTGGGCGAATATGTAAGGTATGTAATGCCGGCACCCCTGACGTTAAAGTCAAATACCCTTCTCTTACGGAGTATATTTGCTAGCAATAGTGAGATCGACCTTCGCCTGATCCATCTTGCGCAGCTTCTTCTAGGCCCCTGGACGTCGCGGGGTGTGCTTACTGTGAGCTAGAGGCGTTGGCCGTGTGTTGTTCTCGGATTCTACCCAGGATTTTCCCGTCAGTTCAATCGTTCTGGGCCATCATCGAGGAAGGAGCCATAACATCGTACTCACCCTCAAGGCCTGTGTCTCTGGAACACGATAAAACACGGCCCACTTCCGAAGCTCGAACCTTCGAGAAGGATTGTCACATTTGCGAAGCCTGGTCTTGTGAGTAATGATTCCCAGATAGGTTATCTGAGGCTGTGGGTCTCTACCTACTGTAGCCGCAGGTTTTGCGCCATCTCTCGCTGTCTCCTATCCAACGGTGATACACTATCACCCTCCATCTTTGAGGCTGCCGATCGGAGAGAAGCGGCCAGAGATAGCTGCTTTGCGAGCTCAGCTGTACACACGTTATACGCTGTTCGACGCGGTTCATAGCGCTTCCGAACCTCACAAACGACCAACTTTGTAACACTCTTGGAAAACACCCACTGGTATCAGCCTACGACGGCGTGTCGACACAGTAGGCCCCTCTGGATGGTCCGATGTGAGGGCCGTGCAGCACTGGACGGAAGGGTACCATGTTCTGATGAACCATGCGACAGAGGAGGGTGTTACGACCTGTGATCTCTGTCAGTCTCGCTTTGACGGGGAAGGAATCCCTGGAACACGTACCTAACTCGTAGGCTTCCCCGAACCAAGGGGGCAAATCGCAAAAGTGCGAGAAGCAGATGTGGTAGAGGCACAATTCAAACGTGCCTTTTGAAGGCGAATGCTGACATCCACACCAAGATTTTTGGGGATGAGCGGGTCAGATCAACGAAAGCCTGCCTCACTCTGGTGCGACCCAAACGAGAGCTCGTACGCTTCTCCGAAGCGCGTCTGTTGCGTGAGGTAGGCGTAGCACTGGGTGGTGTTCTGGTACTGCCGGAGTGCCGGTCCGACGCAGTACTGCTGGGCGGTGCTGCAGATGCTGACGGCGAGCTTGTTCTGGATGTAGGTTGCAGTCTCCGCTAGAGACACGTTCTTGCCTTCGGCGATGGATAGCTGTTGCGATGCATGTCCAGGTAGGTAGTCGACCACCCACTGCCACCAGCCGGTAAAGCTGGCGTCGTACAAGATTTCCCTGGCGGGGTTGAATACGTTCCAGGTTTGGATCACGATCGGGATGGTGGCATTGATAGCCTGATAGGAGGATTGAAAGCTGCTGGCGGACCAACAATCTCCGCGATCGACCAGAGGATGACCAAAGAGGCCTATGGCAGCCAGCACCGAACGATGTCGACCACCCACTGCCACCAGCCGGTGAAGCTGGCGTCGTACATCGATTTTTCTCCGGTAGGGTGGAATACGTTCCAGGTTTGGATCTGGAAGAGACGTGGATAGGGACTTGGGCGCGAGAGTAGCGAGGTACTCTACTTTGGACGAGGATCTCGTTTTCATATATATATATTAAAAGAATGTGAGGTGAAAAATGTTGCGATGCTGAGCGTGATGTCTGGCTTGTGAGTGAAGCTTCCTGTAAGTTCTACCTAGGAAAGTGCGGGCTGGCTGGGCAAATTCACGGATGTCACGGAGCACTTTCAGCCAATAGAATTTGGGCAGCTTTCACGGTAAGGGGTCTTGGTTGTTACAAGAACATTCTATTATCATGTTTATTGTTTGTCTGGAGGCAACAATGCTTCAAGTCTAACGTTCATAGCATTTCATTGTGTAAAGCGTTCTATCACCCGCAAGATTGACTTTCTATGTTACAGGAAACAGCTTGATCACACTCTCGACTGCAGTGACCGTGAAGTTGAATTATCTATGTGTGGTATCTCCCTAATTCCGTGCTCTTCTAGTCGGAATCCGAGAAATGACTTTTTGGATAGCGAAGGAATTTGTATGTGGTAAGGGTCGAGGAAGCTGGCCCAGATTTTGCCCAAGCTTTGGTATCGCTAACGATTGGTCATGGCTAGTGCTGGAGCAAGGACGAAAAGTTGGTTGTGGTGCGTTCTATGGTGCAAAGTACGAGTGTCCCACGGCTGACTATGAATGGTGCGGATGAATGATCGGCCTATGGGTCAAGTACATTAGCAAACTTCTTGCTAAAAAAATTTAAAAGATAAAAATTCTTGCTCAGCAACAGTGACTGTACCCCAAAAGAACGTACCTGCCGGACCAAGAGCAGAGCTGGCTTTAACGTCGACCGATACCTTCGAGTGCAGAAGGGCTTTCTGGCCGCGTCATACGATGAAGACTTTGGGTGACGGTTGTAGAGGTTGGAGGGCATTCAGAGGGCACGCGAAGTGAGGTCTCAGGAGTCGCATTCGCATCCGGTTGATTGGCCGTGGTATTTGGGACAAGAATCTCGTCGTCATCATCCTCAGCAGACCGTAAGTACTCCTTCAACTGCGCGATTGCATTCTCTCTGCTCACTCCTGGCCATGCGAACCCGAGGTTGCGAACATATCCCGTAGGAAGGACCGAAGAAATTCTCTTCGCAATCTCCAGCTCTAGTGGAGGTAAGACTTGTCGAGGTATTGGCAAACAAGGTCTAAGTGCCTCTGTTGATGTTGCCGTCGCTTGATGCAGACGAGAGTAGAGGCGTTCAAGACGATAGATTGGAACGAATCTGAAGACATCTTCCAGTGCTGGGTGCCCGCCGATCAGAAAGGGATCAACCTCGAGAACTTCGAAGATGTATTTTTCATTCGCACTGAAGAGAGTCTGTAGTGGCTCATACAACAAGCCACATCTTGATACGATGACTGCGAAGAGCCATTCGTGGACGCCCAGGAGGCGATCGATTGCTTTTGGTGTATAACGGCTCAAGGTCTCTGCCTCGACCTGTAAGAATCGCGAGACGTCTGGTCCGACCTGGGTCTCTTGCTTCTCTACCGCAAACTGATTCACCAGCCCAGCACGCAGCGACTCGAAAAAGTGGATGTGTAACAGTAGGCAACGCTTGAGCTTGTGGGCATTTGAAGCATTTGGAGAGGGTACAGGTCCTCCTCCTATCGTTGACTGCACCCAGGTGTATTCGAAACACGAGTTCACGTTGCTCTGGGGTAAATGGTGATGGGTCAGAGCGTTTGCCAGGTTGCCTGCGGTTGTGCAACGTCGTCGTAATTGTAGAAGATAGTCTAACGTCAGTGGACCCTGGAGTAAAAGTGTCCGAAAAAGCCTATCCGCTGTGACCATGTCGCATGATTTGATGAATAAGGCAACGACAGCGGCTTCCCTTTCAGTTGTGTACTGAAAAAAGGTCGGAGACGCATGACGAAAGTGCAGGAAGTCCTCGAAGGCCATGAAAGCCAAGACGTTGAAAACGACCTCAGGAGGGGTGCCATGACCTCCCACAAGCAACCTGACGACTTTTAGCATTCGTGTCGAGCTACGCAAGTGCTCGAAAGTAGCTTACTCCTCTACAGACAACAATTCGCTCCCTTCTGTATGCTGCTCCGCGTCAGAGCATCCGCCTGAGTACATCTCCTCTTCGACGCCCTTGTCAAGCACAAAACCTGTGATCATGACTAGCCGCGTGGTATGATTGAACTGTATCGCTGATGATTGTGGTGCGGGGCAAACAAGAGGAGTATGTGGCCGATAGGGAGAATCCACAGAAGCTACAGCTTGTAATGCTGTCTCGAGAGCAAGGGTGCTCGTAGTGGACAAAACGAGTAGACACGAGAGTTCGTATCTTATGTGTGTGGTTTCAAGCCTTCTATGCGTATGTGAAGAGATTGAATGGCGGTGGCAGTCTTTTCTTGCCTTTCTTCCAGGATTTTTCGCACTAACGGGATCTCTTGTGTCACGGTTGTCTCAGCTCCTAAGAAAGTTCCCTGAGCTTAAAAAAAGACGGTCGAACAGTGAATCATTTGGTCTAGAATTTACGGGCTCGAGGTGAGAAGTGCTACAAGTTGACAGGCGTAAAGAGGACTTGCTGACGGAGGGAGTCTAGCGAAATGCCCGTCTACTTTACAACCTTATGGCACAACTATATGCCTCTCGTTCTACATCATGGCAGAGATCTTGGCTCAAACGAACAAGAATGGGGTAATGACAGCTCCGTTGGTGCCGTGAGTGGATACCGCTCCACCCAATACGACCCTTTGCTGACACAATGTACCTAGAGCCTTTCTTGCGAGGCTTGATGGGCACTCCCCCGAGCCCAAGACCATGAACTTGTGCTTTATGGCTGCAGAGAATGTGGGGCAATTCCAAGCCACTCGAGATTCCGACCGCCCTCACAATATCACTGTCCTAGCAAACCAATGCGACATTGTTCGGTACGCCATTGTTTGGTACACCTGCAACAGAAAAAACTACCTCTATCGTACGGCCAGCCGCCTTTACTACAGTCTAGAATGGCCACTCAACCCTCGTCTCAGATACCTTTCTGGCATCGCTAAGCAGCTTGCTGTTGTTCTTGCAGCTCAGCTCGAGAAGACGCGTTGTTCGAACTCGTCCGACTTCCAGCTTCCGGGTAACTGCTCTGATGAAGATACTCTGCCGCAGGTTTATCAGACAAGTTGTGCCATACATGCTCGCGCTTGCCCACTTCTTCGAATACTACGGCGGTGGACTTGCTAGCTGTTTATCCGACCCGAGCCAGGTGAAATTTGTTCGGAAACCTAGCTGAGGAGTTAGATTCTCCATTCGGACCGAAAAATACAGCCGAAGGACCGTATACCGAATCTATACTCTATACCACACGCTGAAGTAGCTTCTCGATCGACGACATGACGATCGGTGTCGTAAAGTCATCATGGCACGCTCCTCAACATCCGTGGGACTGGCTACTCCGACTGCACAGACGCCTGGACCTTTGGAGGGTTTGAGGCTGTTAAAGACGTGCTGGCGCAGCCTCTCCTCGAAAGTCGCCTCGGTATCGTTGAAGACCACTTCGCCCGAGCCTATCCAGATTCCATGATTGGTGCTCGAGTATAGCCCAACAGATTTAGAGCCGATCGCAACATATATACATATACACACACGTCACACTTATGCCCCAACAACCAACCATCGTCTGGGTGGTATTACACTGGGTGAAAAACCGGATATCATCAACAGATGAGCACGAATAGCGCCTATCAGAGGAATTAGAGCAGAGTCGAAGACGGATGGTGATAGCGTACAACCGTTGGATAGAGAGACAGCGACAGATTGCGCATAACTTCAGGTTACAGAGGGAAAATCAAGACGAGCCATGCAATCCAGGAGAGGGACTAGCACCGGAGGGCGTGGAAAGAATCAGTAGGATTTTGGTCCTGGATATCAAGGCCGCGGAGACTTAGACTCAATTTCCAAGATGAGCCATAGGATCCAGGAGGGGGACCTATTGTGTATAGGTTCCAACTTCTGCAAATACCGGTGGGAGCGGACAGAATCAGTAGAAGTCTTGTCCTGGACATCGAAGAGAACGGAGTGAGATTTAGATTCGATTTCTACGAGCATTTGGACACCTACGAGGGGGCTGACCCGGAGCTCATAATTCCATGGGAGGATTGAAGTGCAATTCGAGGGAGCTTCGAGGGGAGAGCTGGTTGTTGACAGTGTTTGGAACGATGCTAGTGCTTCAATGAGGGGCGTAGATTGGGAGATATCTGGACTTGTCTGCAGTCGTCAGATTCTAACAGAATGCAATGCTGTCCACTGGCCCAGTACTCTTCACTGTGCAATCCTGGTTTCTCAAAAAATGCTCTGCTACCGTTTCTATCTCTATTCACCCGGGCGCATGAGCCCGGTCATATTGTACACTTGGTCTGAGTATACAATGGAATAGTTCACACCAAAAGACATGATATATGATCCCGTTGGGGCTGACGGGTAGCAATCAGCGCTTATCGCGGCCCGTGCGTTTATTTGACTTTCAACGTGTGTCCTCCAAAATGATGTAGATAGAATTGTAGACGCCCTCTCCTCCTCATCAATACTTTCAGTCTGTCCCAAGGGGTTCTCCAAGCTCTTTAGATCCAGTTGGTTCTGGGGTGTATATAAGTATAGAGACTGCATGGTTGCTCTGGACTGTCAGCTCCTGGTTGTCTCCAAGCACTAGCTTTCAGTGTAATATCATTGCTTTGTTATCGCAAGCCTAGGAGCATCTTCTTGTTTGATCCAGAGTTTTCTACCTCCCTCCTTCTACCCTCCTTTTCCATTCGCCCTCCGGCCTCCTTTTCTGGTTGTGTCTGAGCCTCCAGGCTTTGATTTGAACCAGGTCTGGGAAGGGTAGCCCGCTTGACCATGACGGTTGGTCATTCAGCCGTAGGAGGAGGAACAAGTGGTAATCCCTGGGCTCTGGTCTTGTAATTGGCAGGCTTCTCCTTTTTCTCCAAAAGCTGGGGTTGTATGGCTTCCCAGTTGGATTTGAAGGGAAGGCAGGATCATTTTTGGAGGACTGAGAGGCATGCCCTTTGATTGGAAGATTTCTCACGGGGTCCAGCTTGAGAACGCATTGAAGGCACGGTGTGCATGCAAGATCTTCGGAGCTCCGGTGTTTGTGTCAAGACCCCGAGAGGGACGAGCGTTCTCCTCACGATGTGTTCTTAGGGTAAGCTATCTCTGCGAGTCTTGGCTGGCTTAACTGATAGTTAAATCTGTAGATAGGTTAGCCTGGCATAGTATCAGGCTCGAGACAGAAAACTTGCGGCGTTCCTGGCTCGGAGGCATGTTATATCTTGGAGCTAAACCGTATTCGAGCGATAGACTGCGATGAAGGCGTCTGAAAATTGCTTTGGAAGAGTTTCATTAGCCATTGGAGTGTTTCTTGCCATGAGGGTGGAGTCTTGGAATGCTTGCGGCATTTGCCGGCTTCCCGCTTAGCTTGTATATTGGTTTCCCGTTGCCACCAGTCACTCCCACAGCGATTACGGTAGACATCTTCTCTTGCTATCCCGCCAACATCGCCTTTCTATAGCAAATACGTCCAACAGTCCGTTACAGCCAGAAGTTCTAAGCCAGCATGTGAGCTTGCAGACAGCCACAACACTCAGGTCAGTGGACTCATTCCGTACATAGCAGTCCTAAGAGGCAGAAATTGGTACTAATGCTCAATGCCAGACCACGCTTCTGCAGTCTCTCTGTAGAGATCCTAGCGACAATTCTATGCACAACGACGGCGGCAGAGCTCACCAACTTCCGATGCTGCTGCATGGCATTTGATGCGCTCTTCATCGCAAACGAATCTGCCGTCATCGGCAGCATTCTCAAGAATCATTTCTATCACACTGCATCTAAGCTCTACGACGTTGTCTTTACTCCTGGACCTCTGCGCTTTGGATGCCTCAAACACATCGCACGCCGCTGCTACATCGCCGATATACTGGCAACGTCAATCGCAGAACATCATGTAGGACATGGTCTCGCCACAACAACCAGACTGGGAACGGAAACCGGGCCATACCTTCTCTCGTTAGGGAATTTCTTCGAGATTTATCCCAAAGTCCTCGCCAACTACACAAGCAGTCCTTAATACGCACCATCAGTTCGATCCTACAGCGCTAAAATGGCGGGAGACATTCTGAAAACAAATTACAACGAGACAACAGTCCAACGGATCTGTCTCACGCACGAACTCCTGAACCAGATCATCGATCAGAAGTTCATTGGTAGAGAGCTCACCATATGGTACCCGCTACCAGTCGCGAGAACTCCACCAGGAACTGTCGACAATTTCACTTTCGGAGGCCTTGAGATGGTCAAAGACATCGTGACGCATCCGCGATGGAACGATCGGCTCAAGTATGTTGCCTCCCATTTCTACAAAACGACGACGGCCCCTATCCCCAGAGTTAATGGAGAACCACTCGCTGTGGCCCTTCCTCCGTCGGTTTTGGGTCACAGGTTGAATACGGCCACGAGTCACAGAATTTGCAACCTGTTGCCCGTTTACAGCCCTATATTACAGATACGCAGCATTGAGGTTTTTGGGTTTCCAAGGGTCGAGCCCGCTGAAGAGCTGGACATGAGCCGGGACTTCTTGGAGCACTTGAGATCGTACAATGGGGAGGAGCCGAAGCTCGTGCTTTGAAGAAAGGGGCTCAAGAGCTGGACTGCTTGGGTCATTAAGCGCTATTCAAATTCGTCGATTCGAGGAATTTAGACTTTGGGCCATCGAAGAACTCTTTGATTTGGAAAGAGACCGTGCGTGAGAGGAGATATTTGGGGTGGCAGGAAGAGAGAAGGCAGCTTGCAGGAAATGAGAAAGAATCGACGGCGCCCTTCTCAAAGTTGCGATGGGTTCACGGTACTGTTTCCTAGGATACATTGTCTCTATATCTATGCCACTCTATATGCCTGGCATCTTTCATCTCGCTTCACCTTTCTCCAAACCACTGCCTTTTGGCAAGTTCCACTCCCCGTTCGACCTTTCCTCCGTAACCAACCAGGACAAATCTCACAAACACTCTGTTGTCTCATAATGGGGAACAGCTATACGTTGGGAAGTTGCAGAACTTGCTGTGCGGACAGAACGCACCCCATTCCGGGTTCAATAACGCGACATCCAGGCGAAAGCCTTAAAGCTCTGGTATTTGTGTCAAGACTTCCTGGGGACGAGCGGCGTCTGAATGTCTTCTTAATTGGTGTAAATGATCTTAAGGAGCCTGGCTGGCTTGGTGGAAAGGTGATGGAAAGCTGGCTCTGTAGGTGGGTAGCCTCGCAAAACACTGCGTGTCCAGATGCTTACATTGTTGGAAAAGTCTGTCCTTGGTGTAGAACTAGTCAGTATCTAGGCAATTGAACCCCTGTGAAGCAATATACGGTAACGACGAGTTTTGACTCTTGTATTTGAAGAAAGCTATTGGCCCAGGACACTTCTTCTTTCTAGGTAGCAGTCCCTAGAGTGATGAAAAAGACTTGGCGTAATTACAAGTCTTTGCCTAGTCTGGTTTTCTGGGGTGTGTTCCTACAAACCACAGTACAGCTTTACGCACAGCAGACAAGACATCTCGGACTACCAGTTACTATCATCATAGATACCGGGATTGAATAGCAACCGCAAATAAGATGTCAACTGAGATAGTGCCGGATGGCCGGGGCCAACCACAGAGCTTCTATACCGCCACATTGCCCAAGTCAGTGAAATATTTCCCCTTTCCATGTGGAGTATAACAGGGATGCAAGATATCTACTCACCAGTCGGAACAGACGCTTTGACTTCACGAAGCTCCCCACCAAGATCCTGATAACTCTCCTAGGCGAGATGGCAGCTGGGTAGCTACCTCTCTTTCGAAGCCTTTGCCGGGCTTTCCACAACTTTGTGACAGCGAACGAGCGTCCTATCGTCTTTTATGCCCTCATGAACGACAAGTATCGCACGCCGTCAAGGCTGTACTATCGCCACATCTACTATCCTCGCCTCCCGCAAAATACATTGCACTTCGCCGATCTCTAGCAATTGGCTAGCCGCTGCGATAGCGCGCGAGATCTGGCGCTTCTGCTTGCACAGAACTTTCTCCTAGATCTCATACTTACTTCCAAAAACGCTGGTATTGTTCCGAACCAAGCTTGCTCTATCACGAAAATCGCGAAGAACATCTATCCATACGTCATCATGCTCTTTCATTTCTTGGACAAATACCGCTCTGCTCTGGCCTACGATCCAGATCCCCCTTATGCCACCTCCTTCTGGGCACCGACTGAACAACTCGAAAGACGGCTTCTGGCTCATACAACAAAGAGACTGTATACCGACTATGCTGCCTCTACCAACTGCTTCTGAAAATCGTCCAGCAAAATGTCCCCCGGGTCGCCCTTGTGACCATGTCTATGTTTATGCATACCGCTCTATGGCCACTTCGATCTTTTCGGTGGCTCCTACCTCGAAATTTTCGTCTTCGGCAGTCTTGAAGCTGTCAGGGATGTCATCGCCCAAACTTCGATATCAGCCCGAGTCGACTATGTCCTTGCACACTTCAGCAAAACGACGCCTATCCAACTGAAAATCACTCACAATGGTAGACACCACACAACGCTTGTGCCTCTTCCTAAGCCACTACCGCCTGAGCTGGACGACCAAACAACGACCGATACCTGCATTCGTCTGCCATCTTCCCCCAACAAACTCTTAAGCCAGTGGAACGAAGGCCTTTGGGGCGATTCGCGGAATATCGATGGGTATGCCAAGAAGGGGAAATTCTTAGGATACTTGGCAACTCATGAGGGAGTGGAGCGGGAGTTTTCGCGTTGAAGAGGGGATCCGAGAGAGTTAGATTGGTGTGTTCTTTTCGGGCTTTGCGGAGCTGTCTCATGAAAGAGATCGGCATCTAGCCTGTCGAAGTGTGGACTGTTGAGGAAAGCATTCGCCCAAAATGAACAGCCGGGCCGGTGGAATAGAGGAGAGCGGCATGCAACCAAGGAGATCAATTGACGAATCACCGCTTTAGATATCTGTTGGATCGAAATCGTGTCTTCGAAATACGGTCCTCATCCTCCCATCACACCTCTAGTGCTCCACAACTTTCTCGAATAACTAAAGCTGTTCCTCTCCGTGTCTTGTCTCGCTGTCTGTGTTAGCATGGGCTTTAATGATACGCTTTTGTTCGCTCTTCACTATCTCCCTTCGGTTTTTAAACATCAACTTTCGCCCCATATTTCAATCTATAGTAAATCGAGTGACGGCAAGCTGTGGGCAAACGTGATCTACACTTTTCTCAGTCCAGGGACTCATGCTTGAATGGTGTCTGGGAACACCACTTCAGTCCTCTAAAAGCTGTTAACACATGATAAACTTACCCTGCGATATGCAGATCCCAGCTGTCGAATGCAGAATTGGGATGTCAAAAGTGTGACAATATTAAAACTGTTGAGAGCAACTCTGAGTGCGGAGAGGCGAGAGAATGTAAGACTATCCTATTCTACGACTCCTTTCCCTGTCTTCTTGTTCCCTTAGCGCCCTGCTTGTCTTAGAGTTCTGCTCAGCTGCCACAGGTCTCCTGAATGCCAGCCTCCATTATAAGAATTCTGCACAGACTTAACACGTTTGTGCACATGCCTCGATACCGGATCTCCATTCTTCAAGTTTGTTTCCGAGCTGCCGTGTGAGGAACTGAAAGGCTGCTAACTGATTAAATTGATGGTGTTATAGTTCTGTGCTCCCATTGAAGTTGTGCTCCCATTTAGAAACCCTGCGGCTCTAACGATGTCGGTCTGCTTTATCAAGTATAAAACATGGCAAATTTCTGATTGAGCATTGCCTATGTGCCAACACGTCGCCAAGGTGGCTAGAAGTCCGAGAAATGGGCAGTCCGGTCTCATCCATTCTCATGGCATACATCCTCTGAGAAGTGGAATTCGAGCTCTGTTAGACTTTGTCATTGGCCAGATCCAAGGATCCGCTGTTCTGCGGTTTCAGAGGCGAGAGGTCAATGACCAAGCGTATGATGGGGTTCGAGATGTACCAAAGCCCACAACGATGCCAGCACGAGGAGCGGATCTGCTATACATGATCAAAGCAGAGCATAGAAACAAGATAGATTATGTAGATGTGACTGCCAAGGTAATTGTCCATTATTTTCGTAACCGCTATGCATAGTTTACCTCAAACAAGCACGAATCAATGTATCCAACGCCCTTTAATGCAAAGGAAGAACGAATCATCTCCCACTACTGACTATTTTCCCCTTCTTTGCTTCCATCATACCCTCCAACTTCTTGCTCAATGCATCCCTCACCCTCCTCTGCCCTGCCCACTCCTTACTCATTCGCGTCATTCGACAGCTGGCCATGACCATAAAACCTACAGCTCGTAGTGAAAGCCTCGTCTGCTCCGTCTTGCCTAGTTTGCCCCGGAGGCTGTCTCCAAGGCGCAGACGAGGAGACGACGGGCCAGGCGTGATGCCCATGTCGGAGAGGAGATTGAGATCGATTTGGTTACTTGACAACGTATTAGCATAGTTCTAAATGATGGGAGAAGGGAGAAGTAAGCTTACCAAGCCTCAAACATCTCGATTTGCATCAGCAAGAACTTCTTTTCGTATACTAGACCACTCCTGAAGCCTTCCTCCCTTGTGCATTTGGCGCGCAGCCATTGAATCTGTTTAGCTAATCCCTTTAACTCGCCCATGTGCTTCTTTTGTATCATCTCGAGATTCTGATTGTCGTTGGCATGCAGGCTGCTGATGGAGGTATTGGCGAAACGCACACGGGACGCCATCGCCTTACGCTCTTCGTCCCAGTTGTGCTGCTGGCGGGTAAGATTGTCGACAGCGCGTTCATAGCGAGATTGCACGTTCTCTAACTCTGTAGAGAGAGCCGTTGATCTATGCGTCTGTAACGTACGTTCTTCTCGGACACGCTTGAGCTGAGCTCGAAGATCCTTCTCACGGATGGAGACCGATTCAAGCTGGCTCTCCCTCGAGTTGATCTGCACTTGTAGATCTTCGGCAGTGAGCTTGGCGTCCTTAAGCATCTCGTGTAAGTCTTTCCGCTCTTCCGCTAAAGTTACATCTGCTGTCGTGGCTTGGCGATGAACACGGACATCGTTCTCCAAAGATGAGATGCGAGTACGTAGGCGTGAGATAGTCTGAGTTGCTGTGGTGTTTTTGGCGAGGATGGTGTCTTGCTCATTGCGGATGGCGGAAAGCTCGGCTTCTAGCTGTTCACGTTGCTGCTCGTAGGCATCAAGGTTTGACTGGACCTGGCATTCTGATTCGGTAAGTCTGCGCTGTAGTGTCTTTAGGTCGTCCTTTGACTTTGCTCGGGCTTCTCTAAGCTGTTGAGAGGCATCGGCGAGCTGATGTTGAACCTGGAATAGCTCATTCTTGCGAGCCGAATCTCCCACAGAAGACTTTGGCGAATCCAACGTCAAGCGAGCAATTTCCTGTTCGTGAGATTGCCGTTCTAATCGTGTGACTTTCTGCCTCAGATCTCGGAGACCCTCCTTTTGGGCCGCCTCGCGCTGAATGTATTCTGCTTCCTTCTTCCGTGCCTTTGCCAGGTCTTTCTGGGTCATGCTGAGCTCGGCTACAGTCTCCCCGTTGTCTTCCAACTTGCCGGTGAGGCCCTCAAGCTCGTCAACGCGGACCTCGA